ATTTTTTTTTCTTAATCGTTAACATCTATGCTGCTCTTATTTCAATTTAATTTAGAGTCATTTTTGTCAATAGATAACATCTATATTATTCGTACTTTAATTCATGCTAGAGCCAAATTGAGCCAAGAGATTGAGGTGGGAGAGGAACTCATTTCTAGATCAAAATCATGCACTATTATACATCTTTTGAATTTTACTGCAAATACAGATATTTGAAACCCTAACTTAGGCCTCGTTTGATAATCCAATTCAACACTTAAATTTAATGGATTCATCTTAAGATATTTAGACAGTTTGATAACAAAAAATTGAACATATGAATTAATTAAGTAGCACTGAATTTTCTAGGTAAAACTTACTCCCAAAATTAAGTGATAGACTATTCACTTATCATTGAATGTGATATGCACTCAAATATGTTAGATTTAATATTTAACAATACAATAATTTAATGAATTCAAACTCTAAATTTTAGATTTATGAAATGCACCCTTAGAATTATGCTTGTATCTTATGCTTTGTTTGATTGCCAACTCACCTTGACAATAATTAGTGTGCTTTGTCTTATACGTAATTAGTATCTGATCAGCAAATTGCAATGGTGACTCCTTGAATTTGAAAATGTTCTTGTTTGTCGTTCACATGATTGGATGTTTTCAGGATATTTTTACAAAATATTACTGTAGAAAGAATTGTTTAAAAAAACTATTAGAACGTGTAATTTTGTTTTTTTTTTGAGTTGTTTTTTTAGGTGTTCTCAATTTCTCATAGCTCCAAGCCCACCCACGACCCATAACTATTGCTGCTATTTCTCCTTCCGACTGCCAATTCCTTCTCCCTTTATCCTCTCCGGCCTCTTCCTTCCACCTCTTTTTCCCCCTTTCCCCTGTCTTTCTCCCCTCTCCCCCCTACTCCTTCAACCCCCCAGCAACCAAATTTGATCTTGATAAGATCTGTTATAGATCTCGTTACGCCCCAGGGCACAATCCGATCTGGTCATGATAATGGGTGGGAATGGAGTAGAGAGGAGTGGGAGAGGGAGAGAAAGAGGAAGAAGGAGCTAAGGGAGAGAGGAGGAAGGGGAGGGAGTGATAGAGGGTGTAGTAGTGGTAGTGAGAGCAATGGCAGTTAGGAGGAAGGGAAGGAAGCATTTAACCAAGTTAGTTTCTTGCTAAAATACCCCTATTTTTTCGTTAAAAATAGGAATGCAATGCGCTCTTGTGTTATAACTTTCTTATTCTTATTTTTCCTTCTTAATTTAGTTTCAAGAAGAATTTTCAAAAGATATGCAAACGGTCACTAAATTTTCTACAATCTTATTTAACCCATCGTACTATTATTTGTCTACAGAGTGATGAAAATGCTCCTGCAATTGACCAAGAAACATGGATGCAATGGCGCAATGGTAACACTCTTTAAGAGTCTAGCGAGTCATTTGACACAAAAAAAGGGGTAAATTACACTTTATCCCCTGTGGTATAGCTAATTTTTACATAATTACCGTATAGTTTTAAAAATTATATATAAACCCATTATAGTTTGGATTAAAGTTTCAAAGTGCCGAAAATGATCATCCGTAACAGAACCTATAAAAATGTCAAAATTACTCTTGTTTAAAAACTAAAATGGTTGATATGACTAAAATATATAAACATAATATGTATGACATTCTAATCTCGTATGATTTTAAATTTTACTATATAACCTCTTTATGATTTTCAATATATATACATAATTCCCCTGTGATTAATAAATAATTATCAACTTTACATAGGGGTATTTTTGATATGTTAGTTGTTCTCATTGTGGATTACAAATTCCATCACTTTGACGCTTTAATTCAAACCATGAGAGACTATGTATAGTTTTTGAAACCATATGGAGATATGTAAGAAAATACTAAACCACAGAAGGGTAAAGTGTAATTTGCCAAAAAAAAATGAATAGCACACTAAATGAAGTTTTGAAAAAGTTTGGTGAGAGGTGTTGTACTTTACCCTTATATATACTAGTCTTCTAACATAATTTCTTTCAACCGGTTATTCTAATTGTCTGCATCTTAATCTCAACAATATCCCTCTCAATGGGGTTCATATTAACAAGTTTTATAATTATGAACACTATTGCTGGAAAAATTTGCAGAAGGATGTGCTCTAACACAAAATCTGCATGAGAGGATGCAATATTTCCAACTTAAGATTATCAGTCATGCCCGTACAAGCACATTTCACCCAAAAAGAAAAAATGGTATATTTCATGCTTGGAGTAGTACATACATCTCACGATTGATACTCATAGAAGACTGTTCATCTTTATCAAGTCTTCCTTGAAGCGCACATTTGAGAAATTTTTACTATTTTTTCGTTGTCATATAGCCCAGATCGATCATTTTATATCTCATTATTGCTATGTGAATAGTTTAAGAAATGAAGCATACGATGAAAACACGTCAAGTACCAATGCAGTTGTTTTCAGTAGTGCCCTCAATTAAACTTCAACTTTTGTTGATTGAGCTTTGGAGTTTTAAAAGATAAACATTTAATTAACAAAAGTAAAAGATGGTTGGTAAGCACATTTTGGATTGTGAACAGGCACATTACCAAATGGACAGCTAGTCGACTAATTACTTTCGGAATTTAAAAAACTGTGGAGGTCTATTTGATTCCCGCAAGTTAAATGTGGGAATCTGATGCGGTAGAGGCATGTAGAATGAATTTGTTTCACAAACGAAATTCATAAAAGAATAGAGGGTGGAATAACGTTCAAATTCCGAAACACGAATAAAAAATGAAAGAATAATGAGAGAAATGTCTTAACAATTGGAGCATCCGGTCAAAATTTCATTAATAATTGATAAAAGGAGTAATAATTACAAAGACCTAAATATGCCTATTTATAGGTTAGAAGTACTTGTCCAGTAAGTTTTTTGATAACTGAAAAACTCCTAAACTTTTGAAGTGCTCCGCAGCACTTAACTACTAAACCCCCCAAACCCCCCCAAGCGATGTGGGAACTTAACCCCACAGGGTGCCGGCTTTTGAAGTGTCTTCGCAGGGTCCATTTATCGAAACACTCATACAAAAAACTGTGAGTTATGAAAGGGAAAAACTCCTAAACATTTAATTAGAATACGAAACGAACTATTACTAAAACCTAAGAAAATACAATGAAAATAAGAAACTGCCAACGATGATGACCAGCGTCGGACATGGCACAAATCTTAGGACCGGTCATCTTCTGACACAATGTTCGGCGCCAGTGATGAAGCTGACCTTCATGCTGGACATGCTTGGAAGTCACCCACAAGCTGATTTCTCCTTCTTCTTTTGTATGCTTCTTTGGTCCGACAATATTTATAAGAATAATCTTACCAAAATTACATTAATAAAACCATGAAATCTACCCTAATTTCGATTCTAATTAATTTATTTAGATGGGGATACACCTGGCAATTGGACGGGTTTTCATTTAAATGGATTATATCCAACCCGTCTAATTTTAGATTGGGTTAATTTTGGATTGAATCATATTGGATCATCTCAAACCCATGATCCAAATATGACCCGATATATTAATTAATAAATTTTGATACATAAATTCTTTCAAATACATTTTAGATACAAAAATTTTTTTTCACACATACAAGCACACACTCACTTCTTAAATTCTTTAAAAATATATTATTTTTACACATTAAAATATACACTAATATACTTTCACAAATACACACACGTACTAACTGTTTAAATTATTTGGATGAACACATTATTTTTTATACAAGTAAAGATTTTCAAACTGGATGGTGAATATAACTTTGATCCAAACTAAGAGGCCGGAGCAACAATTTTAGTCCAAATTGGATATAGCATGAAAAAATGGTATACCAATATATGATTTTTTAAGTATTATTACTTGATTTAGCATTAGCTGTACCAAACATATTTCTAGTCTCATAAAAGATCCAATCACGCCTTAATTAAACTGAAATTTTGATGAGAGAGATACAATTCTCAACCAATTAGCTCAAATATCACAGTCCAATTCAATTGAAAATACTTTGGAAAATTAAAGCAGCATTAAAACAGGTCCAATAACAACTCAAACATCCACCAGTCACCAATAAAGCACATTCTAATCATTCAACAACTCACTACGGAAAGATAAACAATAACTGAACATCCCGAAAATGCTAGAATTCAAAGCTGAAACTAATTTGCTTTATGGCACTTGGGCAGCATTCAACTCCAATGATAAAACAAATGGACAGGTACTGCATCACATGTAATTCAACCGCCAAATATCATTCAACACGTAAAAGCTACCCTAAGGGGTGGGCATCAAATGGAACATCTGCAGCAAAAATAAGATGGCAAGTATTAGCAACCAACAACTAAGCAGAAGCAATGGAAGAATTGGATACACAAAGACAACCATATTCAGAATAAATACATAGAACTCATGTTACTGCTTTCCATGTTACTAGAAAGCACAGCAATCATAACCTTAAACAGGAACTATTCTCTCCGGCAGAAGACAAAAGTAGTGAAACAATCAACAATTTATAGCATTCGCAGCTATGAATGGGAAAATAGTTCGTTGACACCAAAATATGGAGTAAACAATTAATGAAGTTGCCAACATCAACATGGTACAGTTGAACATTTATAGATTGTTAGAATTAAGAAAGCAGCAATGAATACCAAGGATTAAGATTGAAACTGGCACACAAAACCAGTGCCATACATTCTCAAATGATCACAAGATAATCCTCCATTATACTATATAACGTTGCCTACATAAAACTTGAAAGGGGTCATGTCAGGCTATTACATAAAGCTCCAATGAAAGCACAGGATGTTGCTATCGTACATTGTTTAGCAACTGGTACTAAACAATAATCGCATCAATCTCAAAGGATGCAACTAAAGCTAGGCATCAACAATCCTTTGACTAAAGCAATAACAAGTATTCTAAAATATCGAATTCACATGACATACTTACTAAGTATCAACATTTGAAGATGCATCTTGTTCAGCAATAAATCTACTAATATCAATTCCAAGATATTGCTCCTCGTCTTCTTGCTCAACTTCAAAATCTTTATCAGCACTCTCTGAAAATTTAGCAGATTTAATCAACCAATAAAGAAAATAATTAAAGAGATCCTAACCTATTGAAAATTAACAGCCAATGCAACTAATATCTAATTTACCTTCACTGTTATACAACCAATCTCAAGAACATAGTAGTGCCTCCACATTATCTGGCAACATAGAAGTTCGAAGTTTTCCAAGAATTCTCCCACCATGACTAAAAGCAGACTCGGATGCTACAGTGGTAATATGAATACTTAAGATATCTCGAGCCATAAGTGATAGCTCAGGATATCTAATTCTACTCTCCTTCCAATAAGTCAAAACATTCAAATCTGGTTGTTGCTTACGATCTACTAGTCGCTCCTCAAGATACAACTTCAACTCAGATTTGTTACCATTAGCCCCTTGTTGAGATTGGTACACATCAAAACCCTGCAAATATCATAAATATTGAACGTTTAAGGTTATATAAATTGAAACAAAATACAAAAACATATGAATCGATTTTACTCACATCCATAAGATCTCTAGTTTGTCCATCATCACTATTAAAAGTACTCTCCATTGGTGCAGCAGTAATAGCAGTATTGTTCTTAAGAGTACTCTTCGAACAAATGAAACAACTTTTGTTTAATATTAAGAACCTTTTCATCCTATGATTGAGGATTCAACACAAAAAAGCAATATTCCACAAATTGGAGTTTGTAACGAGGATCCAAAATAATGGCAAATGATAAGATAACACTATAGCAGTCCCAATACTTTTGAAATTTGATCTTCATATTAGAAGCCATTTCACTAATCAAAACATCTGGACTATTGACTTCCTTATTTAAGAGACATTGAATCTTCCAAACATTGGGAAAGTATAAATTAGCTGTGGGGTATTTACTTCCCGAGAACAATAATGCCATATCATAGAAAAGCCTCAAAAACTCTACTATCTTTCCGACCCTATGCCATTCCTCTTCCGAAGGACACAACTTGTAATCATCATCCACATCTTGAAGTCGAGAAAATGCATGCCTAAAAAGTAAGGCCCTCTCAAGCATCAGATAGGTAGAATTCCATCCAGTTACTATATCCTGTCATAATTTTTTATTTGTCTCCAATGACAGTTGTTTCACCAATTCGGCAAACTTTATGACCCTACTTTCAGATCCTTTCACATGCTTTACACTTTGCCTAATTTTATAAATTGCTTCATCAATCACATCCAATCTAGCCTTTATAATTAAATTCAACACGTGCACCACAACGAATATGAAGAAATTCACTTCCACAAATGGAAGAACCATTAAATAGAAAATAATTTTGCAATAATCTAGTCACTCTATCATTGTATTTTGCATTATCTAGAGTGATGGCGAAAATCTTTTTGTCAATTCCCCATTCTTTTAAAAAATTAATCAGCTCCTCAGATAAATTTGGACCATTATAAGGAGGGGGTACATGACGAAATACAACTATTCTCTTCTGTAAATTCCAATTCTAGTCAACATACTATACTGTAAGTGACATGTATCCATCACTTGTGATAGAAGACCAAAGATCAGATGTCAAACAAATTCGGCCTTGTACAAGTTCAAGCTCTTTTTTTGACCTTTTCTTTTTCTCTTCTATAAATCTTTAACACATTAGATTTAGCTGTATTACGCGAAATGCTTTTCACAGAAGAATTTAAAAATAAATGCAACTCTCTAATTCCAATGTGTTCCATAAATTGGAAGGGGTAGTTATGTTTAACAATTGCAATAACCACCTTATCACGATATATCTCATGATCAACCGTGGCTAATCTAGTAGGCTGCTCCTCATTATGAGCATGACTTGCCAAATGGCCTAATAAATTAGATGTGCCACTCACATTATTTGCTAAGTACTGCTTACCACATGTTTTGCGTATAGCTTTCTGTCTACCATGCTCATCAGGTTCTAACCTATGAAAATGAGGCCAAACTGCCGAATGGGATCTCTTATGTGTCTCTGTATTACTCCTATGACTGCAATCATTGACATCATCATCAAGATCACAAGCAACCGACATATCCTGTCAAAAAAAATAAGAAATACAAATGATGAATTATATTGTAGTATATAGTTGTCATAGATATATTTTTTATCGACACGTTAAGGCAAAGGGTAGAAAGAGCGCCTATGTCAAGATTAAGACGAGGTATGTGATTCATCAGTCATGTGTATGTAATTGTACACATATACAGTGGCATTAATTGATCTAGATAAATAAAATGATGCAGCAAAAGGTTGATGACATCAAGAAATAAGAAGGGTCGTAAACTACTGGAAAGAACTAGGAGGGTAAAGTCTCAATCTATAGCTATCTCCTACACCCTTTTCATCACAGTTGTTGTCAAGCATTTTCTTCCCCAAATAGTAAATAACTTGATACCAGTAGCTGGTTGGCTGATTCTTTAATTCATCTTCCAAGGCCGTGTAGATGAATTTTATCTCATTCTCTGCACCTGTCCATAAGCTTTTTCTCTAGAAGTCTATTTAGTGGGCATGGAACATTTTTCTCAAGATCATTCGCTAGTTTGCTAGGGATTATAATGTTATGGTACAGTTGTTGCATCGAGTTTCCACCATGTAGATTCTAGTTAGTTACTCCTACTATTTTGGAGAGTATCTTCCAGGTATAGTTTGCGCTGAAGGTTCCTTTTTTCTTTTTTACTGCTTGATTAGATTTCTTGAGATAATTATTGGACAATAACTTGGGGACTGGAATTTTAGATACTATCTAGAAAGATAACAAAAATCACCAGAACTAAAAAACACCATTTAATGCAAGAAATAAGTCAAAAGTTTTCTGTCTAATTTAATCAAAGCATAGTTATGGTATAAACACAAATATTCTACCTTTACTTGTATTAATTGTGTTAAAAGCTTCTAATGCTATGGCCCTCATTTCATATATTTGTTAGTGGCATGGTTTTCTGAAATCTCAAGCTAGCTACATCACCGATAAGAGACTTTGAGAAACAATGGCCAACTGGGGCACTATATCAAACACCAATCGTGGTTGAATGTATATCAAGGAGAGATATGTATAACAATTAAACAAGCATATGCAAGCTTGTTTAATGGGAATTTCTATAATAATACCCCGAAAGTAAGAGCAGCGAAATTAAGTGCCAAAAGTACGAATCAAAGTGGTAAGCTAACCTTCAAAAGCTCAGAATCTAGACACAAGTATGAACTTGGAGTTTGCACAGAGAAAGGGCATAACAGAATTGCTGATCAAATCAGTTACTAACCATCATACTCTAGGGCGGTGCGGCTCCATACGTGAAGGAAACTTGTGAATTTGCTCAAGAGTAGAGGTGACGAAGGAGGAGGTGGTGGTGGTTTATTCGGGCAGAAGACCAAAAGCTATCGTTGAAGTCGCTGGATACAAGAGTCGTATTTCTTGAATTTAATTTCTTTATTTGTTTTTTAAATTTAAATTGGGTAATGGATACCCAATACAAATACCCAAACCGTTCAAATATATTTGGATTTTTATTATCCAACTCAAAATTGACCTAACACCCAAATTACCCAATCCAATCTCTGAAATTAGTGGGTTGGGTGAGTTGTTGGATTTTGGATATAATTGCCAAGTCTAGATGGGGACTATACATCCTGAACCCAGGGAGGTAACTCGTTCCACATCAAAATCTCCTGTTTGAAAAGAACTCGTCCTTCAGTTCCAAAAAGGATTTTGACACACAATTCATGAAAAGACTACAACTCTCCCACAAATCTTGTATGGGCGAATCTTGCAATGGAATCTAAGCACCCGTTCATGCTCATATGAAACTCCACATGATCCTTGGACATATATGGAAAGCTCAAACTCTACAATTACACCATCTTCCATTGCCCAAATAAATTTTATTAGTTTTCCTAGGCTAAAAAGGAAATTCCAGTCTTTACACGAAAATCATCAATAGGAGAAAATTTATTCAAATTAAATTTCTCATGAAAATTGATACTTTTCTTGCTCGAAAAAGCGACAGAAGCAACTGAATGAATAGAAAAGTATTTACCAGTAATAGCCTCCGTTGAAGACCGGTGCTGGACGTCTATTGTAGAGAAAATGCGAGGCGAACGCGTGACCTGAGTCGTGGATTGGAGGTTGCGTTTTCTCCTTTCTTCGTCAACCACACAGCTTTTGCTTTCCTTCTTTCTTTTGCACGATCTTTTCCTATTCCACCAATAGTTATAATAATAATCCTACTAAAATTATATCAATAAAACCATAAAATCTACCTTAATTTCAACTCTAAATAATTTATTCGGATGGAGACAATGCATTCCTGAATCCAAGGGATAACTAATTCCACATCAGAATCCTCATTGACAAAGTATTTGGAAGCCAATAGAATTTCTTCAAGTTTCTTGATTTGTATTTAAAAGCATTAACATGGACATGTTGCAGCTTCAAAATTGGACCTGCGTAATAGTTGGGAGTGAGAAAGGATATGAATAGGGGTGGCAGAGCTTAAAAAAAAGACACAAAAAAAAAATCTTCCAAATTGGACACTGAACACCGCCTAGGCCTGTGCTCTTCAAGACTCGCTTGTGATCTGAGACCAGAGAGGTAAAGCAACAGCAAATCTTTGGTATTTTATTTTGGTATATGCAGAGGTCCCGTCCTGGGCCCAGACACGTGGCAACCCAGAGAGGCTAGAGCTGGGCTCGGACCCCAGGCCCATGGGGACCATCTGGGGACACGCCGCTGCTAGGGCTCCCTGGGAGTTCGGAGAACAATCCCGCGGTGGGCGGAGAAAATCCCCCTCAGCACGGGATTGAGACTATTCCGGACAGGTCTCGAAACGTACGGAAGTCGGACTCTCAGGCAATATATAAATGGTAACGCACACCAACTACGTAAGGTACGCTAACTATTGGCCACACTCTTCTAACAGTTTTACTCCCAGGGAACTCTACTCATCGGAAAACTAACTTGACCGTCGGAGTGCCTTCGGGAACAACCTCGGGGCTCCCCTGCTAGTCCCTCTAGAGACTCTTTCTTGTTTGTTTTGCAGGGTTGGGACACGTTCTCATCATCGGTACACCGAACTCATCAGGTCAGCTCGGTTTGGGGAAGCTCAGCGCTTCTTCAGTTGACGCCGTCTGTGGGAACGAAAGGTAATCGAAGTTGTGTTGATGGCGAGAACGCGCTCCAAGCAAACTGTAGAAAGCACCGATCCCGGAGCCGGCGAGGGTTCCCGGCGAAGGGAGACTGAGGCGGCTCGGGACGCCGGGGGTTCAGCCCTTTCAGGGGAGCGGAGACAGCAGATCCTTCAGTTTGTGACGGAGAACCTCCCCATGCTGGAAGACATAATCCGACAGGCGAAGAAGGGGGGTGAAGCCGGGGGCGCGCAGACCTCCAAGGAGAAGGAGAAGGGACCACCACCCAACCTCTCAGAAGACGAGTCGCGGGACCAACCTCCCAGAAGGAAACGGCCACGGACCCCCCCTCGCCCCCGGGTCTCGGTGGTCGGGGATAGCGAGAGGTACTCCCGCGACCGGTCCGCGGGGAGCCGACCGAGAAATCCCTCCCCGCGAAAACCTGTGCGGAACGAGCCTGAACGCTCCCCTGCCCGGTCTGTCAAGAGCCGGCCGCGGGACCCTCCCAAGTGGAAGCCCGTTCGGGACGAGCTTGAGCAGATCCTGTGGCCGCAATTGTACGAGGACAACTACACAGCCTCGTCCTTTACCCGAGGGATAGAGGACTACCCGTTACCTCGAAAATTCAAGATCCCGAACATCGAACTGTACGACGCTTTGACCGACCCGGAAGACCATCTCTCGGTCTTCCTGACGCACATGCGTCTGCAAACCGCTGCGGATGAAGTCCGCTGCAAAACCTTCCCCATGTTTCTGAAGGGGAAGGCCCGGTTCTGGTTCCAGGGTCTGGCACCGGGGTCCATCCGGAGTTTTCCCGAGCTGGCCAGACAGTTCGTCGCCCAATTCGTCTCCTCGAAAACTTACTCGAAAAACGCGACTCACCTGATGGCAATTAGGCAGAAGCCGGACGAGTCCCTGAGGAATTTCATGACCCGCTTCAACACGGAGAGCTTGCAGATCAGGGACAAGGATGAAAAGGTGGTCATGGCCGCCTTCATGAACGGGCTTAGGGCGGAGGACCTCTTCTACAAGCTGGCCGAGAAGCCTCCTGTGGACCTGGAGGAGCTCCTGACCAGAGCGCACGTTGCCGCTAACGCGGAGGAGGCGGCACGCCTGAAAAGGGAGTCGGATCGGGAGCTCGGCGATCGAAGAGGACGAGGAAACCCCCCGGAGAACAAAGACGTTCCGGCCAAGAAGAACGTTTTCGACCGACTCTCAAAAGAGAAAACCCCCGCTCAGCCACCGCTCCCGGAGAAAGGCTACACCCCCTGACTCGGCCCAGGACCCAAGGCCCAGGTCCTGGCCGTCATGGAGGCGGAGGGGGGGACGGCCGCCTAAGATGGGGACACCCAGGAACAAGAGAAATCAGGACCGGTACTGTGCCTTCCACCGTGATGTTGGGCATGATACGGAGGGGTGCTGGGCCCTGCGAAAGGAGATCGAAGATCTGATCTAGCGCGGCTTCCTGGGGCGATTCTTGCGGCAAGATCGACCAGGCCAGGAGCCAGGACGCACCTACCGCGGAGACAGGGGCGAGAGCCAGCGTCGCGACCGCCCTGAGCGGCGTGACGTTCCTCGGGGCAACTCCCTCGACCAGGACACCCAGAGCTTAGCAGGGGTGATAAACACCATCGCTGGGGGCCCCACGGGGGGGACAGCCATGCAGCTCCGAAGAACAAGCGGCCTCCCCCGAGGGGGATGATTTCCTGAAACGCTTGCGCATGGATGAGGAGATCACCTTCGGACCAAGGGATGCGGTTCCCCTGGCGTCTGGAAACCACGAGACCATCGTGATAGACGTCGTAACCAATAACTATCGGGTGAAGAAAGTGTACGTCGACCAGGGGAGCGCGGTGAACATCCTGTTTTACCGGGTGTTCAAGGAGTTCGGCTTGGAGGAGGAACAGCTAA